TTAGTATCTGACCATATATTGGCCATGTTTCTTTTCCCAGTTGTTTTATATAAAATGTTTCAGATGGATATATCCAATTTGATTTTTTTTGAATATAATCTATCTTTGTATTTTTCCCAAATCTTAATCAATAATGCTCTTAGGTAGTCATTTCCTAACTTTTTATCTACTTACCTTTTGTCATACCATAAATAGACATGCCAGGCTAACCTTAAATCAAAACTTTTCAATGTTAAAATCCGTTAATCTTTCATCACAACTTCATCATTTCATTAATCCATTACAATGCTTCATTTATTGCTTTTTATGAAGGGATAGTACATTATATGGATAGGTATTGATTAGAACTGAGTTAAGTATATTAGTCCGCTCCTCATAATGTATCCCCGAGAAAAATTAATTGCACATCCTAGTGTATAACATCAAACTCGCAAATTCCCTAAGATGAAGTACGACTTGTGGAAGTGAAAGCTGCAACGGATAAAGTGATGAATTTTGCATTAGTAACTAATGAAAAATGGCAGAAAAAAGTAAATGCAAACCGATAACTTTTCCATCAATAAGATCGTTTGGAAATTGTGTATCACCCAAACACGACTCTAAATCCGACTGCATACTGGCAACTGAGGAATTGGATCGAGGTGATTGTAATGTATGAGATTGTGGTACCTGCAGATAATTGTGCAAAAAGAGCTGATGACGTGCAGGCGGTGAAGTACCTGAAAGTGTGAAATGGTGAAAGATACTTTATTATTGACACAGTAACATCAATATGTACTTGCTAACTTGCCTAAATCAACCATACTTTTGTTAAACTTTCTACCAGAAAATAGAGTAAATTTGCTATTAAATGAGGCATATTTAGTGAATTTATAAGGAGAAACAAGGAAATGGAAAAAACTAAACTATAAGTGTCAGTCTTAATTATCATAATGAATCCCTTCATTCTCGGCTTCCCTTATGTAATCATTATCGGTAGTATTACTTTATAACTGTGAAAAGTCCTGCAGTACTATATTCTTTTTAATATCGTTAAGAGTTTCTAAAAACCCCTACATTCAGATAATCCGGTGGTAAATTCAGTATAAGGAAATATAACCAAAGATTAAATCCTTGGTTCAAGCTTCTCATTCAGTTCAAAATAGATGAAAAATAATGGTTCCAGAAGATGATGTTAGCTACTTCCTAAAACATTAATTATCCAATACACGAAGTCTTGAAATATACAGATGTTAGAAAATGTTACTCAAAGATTCGGGATGAAAATCTTCTTCGTTCCTTTCGGGATGAAATTGAATATTTATTTCCGAACAAAAAATAAGGATATGGTGATTATTTTTGGAAAAAATCTAAAGAGATCGAAAAGTGATATGGGAAATGAGATAATGGTGTTATCAAAAAAAAGTGGTTAAGGCATACGAGTGGAAGATAAGAGATGGAATAGGAGCAGAGCAGTTCTTATTCATTGGATATGAAATTTTTTGAATTTTTTAAATGTTGAAATTTAACGGTTTAAAAAAATTTGAAATATTTCGTTCACAAGAAATTATAGCAAGTTAAACTATGTTATTGACAATTCGGGTAGATATGAGACAGATCGATTGATCTTCTCTTCAAGTTTAATTTATCTATTTGAAAAGTTGTAACAAACATTTTTCTAATCCAGCTACATATCAATTCTTATCGACATTTTGTTAGTGTTTTCAATGGAATGTTTCTTTTATGAAATTCACTATTTTTATTTTTTTACACGCGAGAACATGTGTTTAACTTCTCATACATGTCATTGCAATAGGCTTGAATGACAGATGCAGCACATTTCAAAAGATTCTACAATTTTCAATTAAAAAATTTAATTACAGTGATTTCGTGTTTACATGGATTACTAGCTAGATAGATAGTCTTGTCTTTTAACTAGATAGTCTGGATAATCTTGTCTTCTTTATCAAAATTGTTTCTATAAGTAATATCTAACCATATTTTAATATTTTCGAAACTTTCAATGTCTCCCTTTTTTCATTAAAATCCAAAAACCGTTTTATTATTTTAAATAATAATTTCGTTTTCATTCACTAACGCAACACAATGATTAATATGGCATTTCTACAGATTTATATGCTGAAATTACGACGAAAACACATAGTTCTCAGACAATGAAACTCAGAAACTAAAAGGATATGTCATATTTCACAGCAGTACTCAATTAAATAATTTAAGGGAGTAGATTGGAATAAAGAATAAATGTTGCAAAGTTGACGAAGTTCACTGTTACTAGATTTTCTTGCAGGCTTCCAAAAATATCTTCTTATTTAATTAATTAACTATCTTACACTACTTTGCTTGATCATTGAAAATCCTCATAACAGTTTTAAAAATCTTTAAATTTGGAACTCAAAAGTTTATATCTCTAAAACGATAATTTGAGAAGAAATGCCCAATAACAAAGTGGCTAAATAAATTATTTGATTCTAGGGTTAATCGTCAACTCAGAGTTTATTTTCGAATTTTCGCCTGCATCAGTTCCGGTCAATTAATTTCTTTTTTTCACATACAAATTGTGAATCATTTCCGGAGTAATAACAAAAGATACCACTTATTTAATGGCGGGTGTTGATTTAAGAATTGATTAATAAATCAAAAACAATAACTATACTAGGGAAGCGTAAAATAGAAATGTGAACCTTTTGATAAGTTTGGGAGTGTACCATTACGTTTGATATTCCGCTTTGTACGCATCACATTATCATCAATGTCGCTCATACTCTGAACACTATCACGTCGAAAATCATTATCTGGAGACAGATAAATCCCATTGCTTGGGGATGATAGCAAAGTGCCGCTGTCAGCTAATTCCTCAGCATGAGTCTGATTCTGTTCTGCAAATTTATTTATAAGCTATATGTTCGAAATCACCAAGTGCACATATGAGATATTTAACGAATTTGACAAATTAACAATTGCAATTTCATGCTTATCATCTTGCTGCGAAGCAAGATTTGAAACATGGCATTTCGGAAGGCACATTTTTGAAAGTATATTTGTGATTTTCTTGAATTAAAAGAAGTAAGGAAAGTTTTGGTTTATCCGAAATTGCAGTTGAAACGATGTTCTTGGCTATCGTACAATTTTGCAATAGAAAGTGACCGAGTTGACCGAGTTTATAGCTTTTTCAGATTTGCAAATTTCATGAAGCATGCATGCAGCAAGTTTGTCTAGACTTCACTTGCAGGAGTTTCATTTCTTTAGCTGTTTCATTCAACAAAAAAATATCACTCCGAAAGGAATTAAAGCTCATTAACTATAATGATATCACTGATGATTTGCCTCAGCATGATTTACTGAGTTTTATTCATCTTATAATTCCAAAATAAATTTGCAGCCTAAATTTTTTCCCGAAAATCTCTGGGAAGATGCCGGATAAATCGAGAGTATTCTCTCTGTAATTATTTTTTTAAAGAATAAGATGCTTAATAAAAGCACAATATTTGATAAAAAGGAGAAGGAAGATGAATTGTTGCTGATATTTGGTGGTGTTAAAAAGGTTTTGCAAATGCGTAAGCGGAAAAGTTCTAACAAGTATAATTGATTTCACATTATTATTTCCGTATGAAATAAATATTTCACATGGAAATCCATCGCATAAAATGACTGAAAATCTCAAATTATTGTAGGCGATTCTGTTCTGTTTATTGTTTCAAGTGAATTGATATATTGAATTCCATGCCAAAAAATACTATTATTTGTGGAAAGACGGAAGATTTATTTGTCAAACTTGGTTCAAAATATTGATCTAGGTGTCAAATCTATGTCTCTGCTTCCGACTCTAGCACCAAATGGCTTGTGATGCTGAAAGATTTTGAAATAGAATTCCTCAGCACTAAGCGGTAAAGAAGAAATTTTATTAGTATCTCCAAGAGGCATAGATTTTCTCAAGGATTCATCAAAGAATGTTATCAAGGATCTTCGACGTGCTTTTATAAAATGAACATTCAGTTAAAAAGGTCAGGGACATTTTAGTCGCATTGCAAATGAATAGGCATCAAGATGCTTGCTGACAAAATGAAGTGCATTTGTTAAAAATATTTTTTTCCATTTTAAAAGGATGTGAACGAAAACAACATCACATTATGCTATTAGAAGAAGCAAAATAAATGTCACTTGGAACCCTACCTGATCATTTATCAGAAAGAAGTAATTTTTTAGAATTACTGAATTTGATGTATTTCCAATTCAATTATAATTTTTTCCTAAATTTATTTGCTAACAAAACTGACAAATAACAAACTTTGATGTGAAGCTTTGCTCTTATAGACAGAACTGATTATGATTTAACAAATTAGAACCATTTGTGGTAAACGAAAATAGATTGGAAAGAATGTAATTATGAAAACTAATGAAATATAAGGTGCTGTCTGTTTCTCAATCTAAACTCTTTTTTTTTATTCAGGAAGATTAAATTTTGATGAGAAATAAAAGTATAGAAAGAACTGTTCATTGTCCATCTATTATGAGAGAGCTGGTATTGCAAGCTTTACTGAAATTGAACAATTTTTTGGAAAAATACTGAAAATTTTGATATTTTGAGTGTTTTTAAATAATTTGTTCGTATGGCACGATTTCAAATGAAAATTTGGCGACAATCTATTTCAGCTGGATGAGCTGGACTTCATTGGAATGATCAAAACGAAAAGATTGTCAATGAGAACATGAACCACTTGCGGCGAGATTAAAAGACTGAAGTTTCTCAGTCTTCATATACACAAATATTTATTACAATCTGATTAGACACAACGAGAAATGCGATAAGTTTCTTTTTTGCTTTCCAGATTGCAAGCACACTTGGTTTTCAGTTTTGTTTTCTTATATTTGCCATTATTCAAAATTAAGCAGTTTAGTTTCTTTTTGTCTTCTATTTACAATAGTTCGAGATACAAATCATCGCTTGCTTTATAACAGCAATTAACTAGAAAGAAATGAACGGAATAGGTATGACAATGTCAACAATCTTTCTGATTAACAACCTTAAAAGCATGGTTAAAAATAATCTTACTTTATTTGGATTTGGTTATTCCACTCGCAACAGATTTTTAATCCCAGTCCACTCGAGAAATTTTCGTATTTCTTTTTATGACTATTAAAACCTTTAAGAAACCTTATCCAGGGTGTCTGACGTTACCAGGGTGTCCTTAATGCGTGTCCAAATGGTATTCCCCAGATGAAGTTAAGAAATTGATGAATTCCGAGTTACGGAGATTCTAGGAAAAATATGTTCCTTTTTTAGGGCTTTTTTTTGCTTCTCTCATTGAAGATCTACAGCATGGCAATCAGAATATCTAACAGGATGGCAATATCCGGAAAATGGTGCCCTCTTGAATTATGATTTTATAAGGATACTGGGCAGGTTTGTGCACTAAATACTTTTAGCATTGATTACATGTGGTCCGCTTTTTCTGTATGATTCACTTAATGATGAGACCGAAGGCTTGGCCAAATCAGTTGAAATCTCAAAAGTTTACAGTCTACAGTTCTTTTTTAGATATTTAAAAAAAAATTCATGACTGGTAATTTTTTTTAATCATGAATTTATTTGTACTTCAGAAATGGCTTTTCATTATGAATATTATCCATCAGGTATGATTCAAAAACATTTTTTCATAGTAATCAGAAACAATATAATGTACAGTGATATTCATATTGAGATGTAAATTGTTAAGATAATTACCCTCCCAAAAAAAGAAAAAATATGTAAATTTTTTTATACATATGTAAATTTGTAAATTTCTTATATATGTAAAAGGAAAGGATGTGTAAATTTTTTGCATTCCACTGGATAAGCACACAAATAGTGACTTGTCAAATAAGTAATTGGACAGGTCTGTCATACAATATTATAAAAAATCACAATATGGGTCTTTCGGAAGTTTTGACACATTTCTTTTACTTCCTTACTTCTTTTTGTGACGAACTTGAAGAATCGTTGATGAGCAATCGTTGATTGAAGAAAAAATTTATTATTTCATTAATGCTATAGAGGGATTTGTGATTATCTATCTAACACGACCACGAATGGCATTGTGAGATATTGGACTTCGCAACTAAATTCTACGATTGCGTTCTGAATAAGTCAAATTAAGTCGCAAAAAGTTCGCAGGACCTTAGTGCTGAGTAAGATGAGTAAAAATTTGAATGTAATTATAAAAATTATATCTGTTAGAGGAATGATGTGAGGTAAATAGGGTGACTGAGCGATTGAATTGTTACAAATAATTAATCATTGATTTGAACAGATGTTGTCTATTCATTACTTACAGTGGAAGGGCGGAGAATGCGCAAAATTGTTTTCATTAGTATCTTTTTCTTATTTTTCGAATCAAAACATTGGTTATTAATACTTGAAAAGATTAAAGTACAAAAACTAATTCAATTTATGCATTATTTCAAAAGTTATTATAAAAAGCTGATTTTAATTTAAAAGTTAAGATTTATTCAAAAAAACTAATGTATTGCTGAAAGTCAGCTTCAAGACAACTTTATCGGCGGAATGAATTACTGAAGTCAAAATAAAAACTATGCATGAGATTTAAAAATATATTCACATAAGCACATTGTTACAAGTTGAAAAAAGAAATCATCAAAGGGAAAAATGATGGAAGCTCCGTAATACGAAGACGACAAAAGTTCTCGTTACTTTTAAAAAAGTCGTATGAAGAAGTTCTGAATGAAACTTTGTTAAAAATGACTTGATGCATTCAATGATGGGTAGTCAGTCGAAAGACTCTTGAATATTTGATTACGCTTTTAAATTCTTCAAAAAAGATAACAAGAATCGTACCATTTCATTTCACCTCTGCGGAGAGACGAGTGTTAAAATGAAATGGTACAGGATACTAGTAGAATGATAGGATGAAATATGAAATTAGATTTGTGCTTTTTTTTAGCCCAGGTTAAAATTGAAAATAAAACCTGAATATACATTCTGGACGGACTGCTGTTGATAAATCGGAAATACTGTGTTGGTTGATTGATCCTCCTCAGAGTTCTGAAAGAAGAATATCTTAAACAAAATCAATGCAGTAAAATATAATTTGTTAGAACTTTATTCATATTTTGATATTTTAGGAGACAAGATTTACATCTCCATCTACAAAATTTTTTTAAAAACCCCCATTTAAAAGCTTAAAAAACTGTCCTCCTTGATTTGTTTTTTCACATTTCAAAAATTTGTCGTAATGTCTCTCGACAAGAGTAATATGCTAAAAAAATTAAAAATTTTCAACCCAGCACCGAAGTTCACTAACGATAGAAAATGGATGACCGAGAAAGAAATTGGTATATTTGGTCAAATATGGTTCAAAGTATACAGCCCTTTCTGAAGACCCTTTGAAGATTTATTTTTTCATTTTAAAAGTAGTAAAAGTCGCAATAGTATAAAAGAATGAACGTCAACGATAAAATAACTGAATTAATCGTTCAAGGATGTTATAATTTGTCTTTAATGACGGCTCACAAGATTGTTTTCATTCCAGTAATCTCTCTTTTCCTTTAAAATTTCTAGAAAATAATTTCTGGAATTTTATTGCAAAATTCTACTATTTTTATCAAACATGAAAAACCATACTATGTTTTAAACAAGAATAATTCATTTATGCATGAAATATTGTCACATATTTTTTAATGAGAAATACTGATGGAAATACTGAAACATAATGGTATTTTATTTAATCAATATGTTGAAGAGTATTTATGGCATATCAGCTAAGCGAATATTACTTACAACAGAATTAATTTCGAAATTAGGTTGGTGGTCAAAAAATGACTAGAGAACTGGTTTTAGTATCTGGCCAAAAACTATGGGAGAAAAAAAACTTTTCATTCTATCAAAAACTCCTACTTATTGATTTCCATCCATTCTATTCATTTTGAAATTAGCCGATGAATCGTGGAGAAGTGTTTTGTTATTTATGCTTATTCCTCAAAGTTTTTGAATTGCAAAGTAAATACAACATCTTTTGATTCATCTTACCACGGCCAATGATGGATGCTTGTTTGTAAGGGATTTTGAAGTGAATTATACTTCGTACTAGCAGGCTAGCACGTTAGGTGAGCCTTAAGCGCAACAGATCCAACTTGTGACTTACCTTCCGTGCCTGCCACGAGTTACCGAAATGTAATGCCACTTGTCCATGATATTTTGGTTTTACTGGCTTTCGATCTCTTTCTCTTCATTAGTCAGGACAAAGAAATTTTTAAAAAATTCAAGAAATTTTAATAGAAAAAAGCAACCAATGAGAATCTCTGTTTATTTCAATTCACATTTTATCAATTTCTAACAACCTCTCAGTCATTTAGCACATCAAAAATTTTATTTTACCTGAAGTTCAGGTGTCATTTCCTCCCAGACAAACTGCAATTCGTTCAACTGCATGTCCGCTTCATTGTCATCCATTGCTATTTCTTACTGTTGCGTTTCCTTTGACATTTTGATGTAGTTTTTCATAAATAGTTCTTAATATATTGTGCCAATAATCTGCAACGATAATTTTAATTGTTTAACTTTTTTTTGAAATTGGATACTTCTTTACGAATATTTTTGGTGCTGCAAGCAATCTAATGATTAAATAAAACCGAACTATTTCTGGAGAATGAAAGTAAGTACAAAACAAATCACATTGCAGCACGTAAAAAACGTGTACTGGAGGTCAATGTAAAATAAATGAGGTATTTTGGAAATAGGTTATAGCTGGAGTTACTGATTGGAACTTTTAGACAATAGCCATAATTCGGATTGATTGCTTTCATGGAACGAACACTATTTTAAAAGTTATTCGGTTCGATGCAGGGTAACTGAACTTTTAAACTTACCTTTTCGTGTTAAGATATATTCTCTTCATAATGTATCATTTCTCATGTATTTTCCTTTTTTCAATAGCTTATACTTTTGTTTCTTTTCTAAAACATTTATTTTCAACTAAGGGAGTGATTTACACTGAAAAGAAATTCAATAAATTTCTTTAATAAAATAAAAAAGCTAAAATGGATCGCAAATCAGTGGAATGAATGTAAATAATTAACTCAGCAGTTGCTAACATGCAATGCGGGCTGATTCAAGAAATTTTGCAAAGGAGACAAGAGGTTTGAAAACAAACGGTGACCGAACAATGACCAAGGCAGAACAATGATCGATCGAAGCTTATTCCATAACTACACAAGTTGTTGAAAACTCAACATCAGATATTTTAGATCTTCAACAAACAAAACAACTCAACAAATGACAAAAGAAATTGTCATTTTGAAATGTTTCCAGTCCAACCACTTTTTTTTAATCTTAACAAATAAAAACGAATCAATTATAGATTCGAATGTTTTGTCTGATGAAAAGTGAATTATATACAAGCAGCAAATAACATTAGTCTACGAAGTTTTGCCTCATCTGTCATATTCGATCAACCTCTCGTCAACCGATACCGTTTCTTCCAGCATTTTGACAGCTTTTTGCCTAGTAAGTATAATGCTAGAAATGCTTTTCAAGATTTCATTAAATCCTTTATGTTACATGAATAAAAAAATTTTCTTCCTTACAAATGATTGTCATGGTTTTCATTTTGATTAAGACGGGATATTTAAGAGGATTTTGAAATTTACGTCTGAATGAGCATTACTTCTCTTATACTTGCACAAAATTTAGAAATTTTTCAAACTACTACTTTAAATTACTAAAGTTTAATTCACAACTTCATCAGCTTCAAAATTACCGTGAAATAAGGCAGAAAGGGGACCATATTTATTGCTTTAATTGAGTACAAAAAAGTATCGCTTTACGTTGCGGTAAACTATCATTCGTGTTGCTCTTTTTATGACAAAAAATAGGACTATCAATTAGCTTTAAGTAAAGTAGGACAATCAGTTAGTTGCAAGTAAAGTAAGGCCATCAGTTGGCTCCATTGATAGTTCTACCTTACTTCTTATCAGTGATAATCATATCTTAGAGCTAACTGATAGATCAGGCTCCACTAAAATTTGCCTATACTACAAATTAGCTTTATGAAATAGGATCATTTTCAATGTGTCCATGTTACTTTGACAAGCGAGATTAAGTTCAAAAGAGAGCGGGGCAAGAATAAGTGGTACATTTTTTTATTGAGGACAAAAAGGAAAGGTCAAAGTACGTAAATATTCCAATGATAAATGAAAAAAGATAAAGGTTGTACAAAGCATAGCCCCAAATCGGTTGATAAAGGAGCCTAGACAGAAGTGTAGTTACTCAAAATTGCCTTAAAGAAAGCAAAATAAATTTCGGAAACAGAACAATCTAAAAGTGATTTCGGTTATTTGCCGTAATTTTTCCAACGCGTACACAGGTAAACAATTGCATATCAATATATCATATTTGATTGTTACGCATTTCTCTATAATTTTAAAAGGGCCACGGAATTACAATTCTCTCTCTCTCTCTTCGACTTAGGCATTATTACTTTTTCAGGAATTCTATAACATTTCCAAGGTGGATTAATCCTTGAATTTTTCGAAGCAGAACAACCTATGCAATTAAATTTTACGAAAGGTGAATTTTCTTCTGAATTTTATTTTAAAAAAAAATGATTTACACTAAGAAATGAAATCATTCAGACATCATCCACATTCAGTCATTCAGACATTGCTAATCCCATGCTTTTCATAACAAATAATGTTTTGGCTAGATGAATTGATTGTTATTTTACCGACAATGACATTTTGTAATATTTTTTTTCTTCACTTTTATTTCTTAGTAGTCATATTTGAACTTTTATTATCGGATGGATACCGATTTGAGGATGACATGAGGTATCCTGCTCCTGAAAAACACCGACCTATCCATTAAATTAATGGTTAATTTCAGTGAATATCCAACGCATGAATAAATAAAATTATATGAAAGAGATGAAATTTTTAAATTTTGAAGCACAAAAATCGCTACTGAAGCTTAAAACAACAAAAATGGGAAAAAAAGTCAAATAGGAAATGAAGTATTGCAAGTAATTTGTACTCATCTCAATAAGCGTGGATATTTTTTTTTCTTTCATGAATTTTGCCTTATTTTCAAATATAAACTGCTAGCAATATAAACATTCTGAAATGTCTTTAATATTCTGTGTAAGACAATTATTTGCAAACATATAAGTTTGCAAATAATTCCTCAAACACTGAAGATATTTCGAATTTGGTGTCAATTTTAGACTATTACATCTAATTGAATTGCCTGCATTAGTGAGGCTTATAGAGTGGATTAAAACCGAAATCTATCTAATTAATGGAATTCATTGCGATGAATTTTCTTCTATAAACAAATCTATTGATGATTGCAGTTTAGGTATAAGTGAGGAAGTAAAACTATGCATTGAAATATGATAGGCCCAGCATCACAGTGAACCATTCAACTTTAGAACTGAATTTATACCTATGAATAAATTTGCCACCCAGTTTACTGGAAAATACTTTGTTATTTTAGAATTTTACTAAATCTTATCTAACTATACTGCAAGTTACGTCATAGTGAAAACAATAATAGAAAACAATAATGGAAAACGGCTTAGATTTCAATCGTTGGCGGAATCTAGGAATTAACGACATTACCGCACTGCTTCTTATTTTTAAGTGAGGATGAAGAAGTACGAAAGAAAGACAGAAAGCAATAAAAGCGTTGAGTAATCAATAATATCAATTCTTAATTCTGAAAGCAAACATAGAAAAATAAAACTTGTCATTTGTAAAATTTTAGAAGTAGTATAATTTAACATATAAAAAAAGAAAGTCGATATTAAAGTTTTCAAGAAATTATGATTGAAACGCAGTATCCTGTAAATGCGAATGTAAAGTTGATATAAGGTTATTTGTTAATTCATTGTTAAAACTAGATAGGATGTTTGCTTCCCAAGATTCCGTTTCGAATCGATGAAGCAGCAATTTATCATCAGCTTTTCGTCTTGCACCCATTTATTAGCTTCCATTAAAACCAGTTTGGTCCTTCACCAAATGCGCCAACATTTAATTTGAACTGTATGAAATCCAAAAAGTTTTCATTGGACAAAATTCCACATTATTTTTAATAATGCGAAGGAAGAAGAATTGTAACAAAGAAACTGAGAAATAAGTAAGGCTATTTTTGCCAGTTGAAAAGTTGAGTTCTTTTAAGAGCTAATTACTCTATGTTCATTAATTTTCCAGTTGTAATCAATCTTTGCTTCAGTGGTTATTTTTTCAATTTATTTGTAATGGTTTCTTTTATACAGATGATAGATGTGAGCATAAACATGAGGGTTTGGTATTGTTGAGAAAATGGGAATGTACAAAAACAGCCAGGTTTGTTTGAAGATTATATTGAATCTAAACAGTAAGCTAAAGAAGTTCTTAGGATGATATAATTGGAAACAAAAATCCAAAGCGTAAAATGACGTCCAAGTAGCAACTGTAGATAAAATTTATTCGTTTCTAGAAACTCGAAGAAGAAATAAGGATTGAAAACGTTTGTCAAAATTTATGCACTTGAAAAAATTAAAAGTTTCCACATTTTTTCGTGATAAATTGATATGCACTTCTTTCGTATGATGATGTTATGGAAGCAAATTATACATAGAATGACATATTTAATATATATTTGATGGCTATCAGTTTTCTTACTTTCGATTTGATGCCAAAAGTAATAGCATTGAGAATCATATGAAACAACTGTATCTAATCAGTATGTAAATTTAGTCGAGTTCAAAAGTAGTATTTAAAGATTTCGGCTTAATAATTTATGCATTTTCAAAAATCATAATACTCTAACTTTTCAAATTGGAAAATTCATCATATAGAAAGTTGAAGCATAACTGAGTTTTCGGAAAGTTTTAGCAAACGATAAAGCACTAATTAGAGTTGGATCTGAAGCTTGTAGTCTATTCAACACAGTGAAATGCCTGTCGTGAATCGTGTCCTGCTTATTCGTATTTTGATTGGTCGGACAATTGAAACTGATGATGGAGTTTCATACAAACCCGCTCGGATGAATGTGTGTATTTAAGAAATCTTTGTTAAGACGAATGTTATGTGATGCAAAGAATCTAATTTGATTTAATCCTACTATTAAACGTTATACTTTCTCCTACGTAGTTCGTAATATTTTTTGTTCGATAAAAAGCTATTCCGTGTTATTTCTGTTCTAAAACTAAAATGAGTTCTTGGAATTTCTCTCTTAAATTTTTTATTTTGGTACTGTTTGTTGTCTCTTCATTAACTTAGCTTCATAAATATCTAGTATAGCCATTTGGAAATGTATCTACAGACAGATTCAAAAATCTGGACTAATAAAATAAGCGTGCAGAATGTCAATTATATAAAACTGAATGGGAATTTATAAACATATCATATGTGCGCAGGAGGTACGTATATTAACAAATAACTCCACTGCTTTTGAGAAGTGGACAATCAAACATCGTTTCGGTTAATTTGATCAATCGACTGGTATTCGATTCATTGATGTTGGCGATGTTGTTATAAGCTAAACTTAATTTCAATGATTTGGGATCTTCTTACTTTTAGACGAGTGCAAATCTGGGATTTTCCTTCCAGCACTCTACATCTTTCTATAACCCTAATTAAGACATGCATTCATAAACGATCTGATTACTGCATTGAAAATTTAGTTGTCCCAAATTTGAGATATTCCAGACTGAATAATACACGAATGTAATGTTTTCTGACCACAGATCGTTCCACTCCGTTATTTACAAATACAACAAATATTGTTTTTTTTTTTGACGAGTTACCACTTGTTAGTATTCCCTTTTATATCATTGTATATCTACAGTGGAGAGATTTTCTTCCCATACTTTTTCGGTTTTATTTTTAATATCTCAAATAGCGGCTAACAGATCACTTTCGAAACTATCTCAGTTTGATTTGAAATCATACTATAGCCGCTACTTGTATTTTCTGTAGTATTACTGAGAACACTTCGTATCACCTAGAAATATTCTTACCTGTAAAGATATGAAAAAAAAGCAAGGAAATGCAGTTTCTCTGTTTAAATTGTCAGTATCCAATATCACCAAAATGGACTTGAGAACATGATATCAATACTTTCTAGTCACTATGGCTTTTCGATCCATTAAGTTCCTACGTCCCACACCATGTTCGTCCATCTCATTCATTATGAATTTTAAATAATTCTTAATCCAATTCCATTTTTCATATTAGTAGCAGGAAGTTGTTATATAAGGAAGGAACACAATGGTCAAATAATCAGATTAATGAGGTAATCAAATAAAAGCAATTGTGATGAAGGAAGATTATGATTTAGATAATTATTTCAAGTATTAAGAAACTTGGCACAGCGATGGTTCATGCAGCAATTTTACAAGAAAGGCACATAATGCCAGCCTGGAACTCTACCATTTTTATCGGTCCAGTGCATGGGATGATAAAATCCAAGGCACTTCCACCATTAAAAAAGAAAACCAGTGAAGATTCAAAAGCAACCAATGCCTTATAGCTAGGATACGACAAGCAAGTAAGCATGGCACATTGCGGCATGTATCAACACTTCCTTTCTTTCCCACGTCGACATCAATAGCTTATCGATTTACTTCCATTGCATGCCACATTAAACTTCAACAATATTCTACCTCTTTTAGCATTTCATTACTTCCTTCTGATTGACGGAAGCAAAGCGCTCAGTCAAAACTGCTCTTACTGAATTACAAATAGTCTGTTCTGTACAGTCACTCTTATACACAGATTTGAAGTAGGAGAAGTTAAAAAAAAATTATGAGACGAAGAAATAAGTACAAAGTTTATATATTAGACTAAAGGCCTCTGACTTAACCTCTATATCCTCGTAGATTCATAAATGAAGGGTAACAGTCAACGAGGTCAGAAATGATCCCTGCAGAGTTTTGAAGTAATTTGCAATAGATCATATACATTTGAGAGGAAGTTTAGAAAGCAGAAATGAGGAGAAGGGGAAATATAAAAATGAGATGAAAGAGTGAAAGAAACAGATGTTGGTTAGTTATGTTGTATTGTTTATGGACTTTTTTTCAAAATAAGAGTGAAATTGTAGGAAGGTTTAAACTGAAAGGGAATGATACTTCCGATCTGCTTGCTACTTCTTCTCCAGACTTAATTGAGAAGATGAGGGATTGCGTAAGTGCAACATTGCGGCAGAATAGAGATAAACAGAAATGAAATGTTGGGGAGAGAACTGGGGGGCATGCATTCCTGCAGTGTTCAAACGGCAATGCTTAATTATCGATCGTTGAAACTTCCTTCAGCCATGGTAGAATTTATGTTATTAACCGTTGAGCGAGGGAAGTTCCGGAGCTATTTAACTCCAGTGTGGAATCTATTGAATGAATGAATATTTGTCCGTAATCAAAATTGACAATTTCACAATCTAAGCAATCTAGATCGAGAGGAGAAAACAACAATCAAAGCCACTGAAAAAAGTAATTCGCCTGTTAAAGGCTATAGGTGGAAACCTGGAACATTCTAGCATGGGAGCAATCAGTGGAAGTAGATTACCGGATTGGATATTGGATAAAATATATCAACAAAAAGAAAGGGACTATGGTTGATCACTAAGCTCCGATAGTTTCTGAGACAATTAGTAAAAAAAATGAATAAATAACTCGAAGTTAAGTCCTTAGCAGTGGAAAATAAACCGAATCCCAAGAATACTAAAGAAGAAACTTCGGATCGAGCGACAATAAAACAACTCAAAACAAGTGGTTCTAAGTCAAATGGTCTTAAGCTAACCGCAAATTTAAATAAAACCCGTAAAAGTAGATAAGAACTAGTGCTTTTTGTAACATGAACTATTGGGATGAACGTCAAACATATCCTATTCTCAAACAACGAACGCTTAAGAGGAAATAATACTTACATAAATTGTCTTCAAACAGGACTTAAGATAAATAATTGTGATGAAAAGAAACATTTATGTTTCCTTTGCAGAAGCCTTCGCAATACCGCATTGTTGTTTATCCTTGATGCAGTTATATAGCGTACAAATTGTTAGACAATCAATGAAGTGGATTAAATGGCTGTAACTAATTCAACAATTGAACGACAGAATCAGCGAGGTAAGGAAATTTTATTTTTATGCAAAGAAATCATGACCAATCCAAACATGTCAGGAATTCAAGAAGTAACTTTGATATCGGTTCGCAACTATCCTTTATATTCATGAATTTAACAATCGATCAAAAGGCATATGAAGACTTATTTGGTAATAAGACATCGAAATCATGTCTTACAACCAAAACGAAAATTAGGATAAGAACTGTTAGAAAGGAAATTATAAAAAACGGGACCAACACGATATTAACGAGCAAATTATAAGTGGTTAAATTAAGCGACCACCATTTATATCGATGAAAAATCTAGACCCATTAGATGGTCTAAAAACTTATTAGAAATAGCTTGATATACTTATCGGAGCTAATTGTTCAACTTCAAATTCACTCCAAACTCATCCGACTAGAAAGAGCTCCTAAATAGAATCAGGATTCACAGTGCTCAACACAAAAGTTGGATCTATGACAGCTTTGAATCCATGGATGTGGATACACAAATAAATTCCACAGTTCTAAAGCAGTATCGGTTGATGTCATACTAACAAATTCGACTGATGTAACTATTCCTGACACGAATCAATTTTGGAAATTAGAATTAGTTGGAATTCAGGAACAGATGAACAAGATGATGATGAACACCCACGATGATGAACAAACATTAGAACAAATCAAAGGAGGTATTACCAAACAAATGGAAAGATTTTATATCTGCTCGCCTTGGAAAGAATCAAAGGTTAATTTGAGTAATAATTAGGTTTGTTTTGGTCTCTAAAAATATTGGTCAAACGACTAAAGAAGGATGAACATTTGATGGGATAATTCAAGACAGTCAAATATAATCTAAGTACAACGCGATATGGATCAGATTAGTATCACCCATTGTTTACCTCATCATGAAATTATAACCCCAAGGAAAATTACTACGAAATGAAGCATTATTTATGGTGTGTCATCACATCTTGAAAAAATTAAAAGTATAAACGACTGTTATATTGTGGATCAGTAACACTTCCAGATTTAGTGGAGTACTACTCTGTTTTCGAATGATGACGATCATAATAATAACCAATAGAGTAAAGACATTTCTACACCTATAATCGCATCCTTCAGAAACTAATTGTACCCCATTTCTCTGATTAAAAGATATTCGAGATCAAGTGACTGCAGAAAATATGGAATGCTATCCTTCCGAAGGATTCCTTTCGGAATTATATCTTCTCCTTTTCTATTATCAACTACACTTAATCATCACTTGGGAACTCATAACAGCAAAACTGCATTAAAAATCAGGAAGAACCTATATGTTGATGAAGTTATATTATCAAAGGGAACGGAAAAACAATTCCAAAAATATGATGAAATGAAATCTGTTCTTAATGAAACAGGAATAATGTTCAAGAATTTCTTTCCAACGATGAAAATTTCAGTAAGTAAATACCTAAATAGGATCGAGCTCAGGTAGGCCAAACGAGAAAATTCATAGTAATATTTGGATTCCCAACAATTCTCAATTTTCATCGTCCATCCAGGTAACTTTACAGTTACCGTGGAATGGGACTGGGAAAAACTGAAAGAAGAATCTTGCAATTTGTAGCATCTCAATATGATCCATTGGAATTCTAATTCCTACGATGATACAATTCAAGATCTTTCTTCAAAACCTATAGAAGAAACATAATTTTTGAGACTGAATTACAAATGAAAGACAAAGAAATAAGGGAATCTCTTATATGAATGACCAATGAATGATACAGAACTACTTCGATTCGTAACAAGCTCTTTTAAAAAAAAGAAATAAATTCACATCTTTAGCGATCCTTCAATTGTACATATTCAACTATTATATGCGCAATTCAAGGAATCGAAAATTTTTGATTTTTGCCAAAATTCGTATCAGCACAAATAAAAATTAGCGATACTCACTGGAATGCGAGCAATCCAATCTGTAATAAAGGAGTTGGATCTAGAAAACACATTAGTAACATTATGGTGAGATTTCAAATGTGTGCTACACTGGATAAAAAATCATTCTAAGTTATTACTTAGATTCGTTTAAAATCGAGTAGAAGAAATTCGAAAAGCGAATTTCTTATATCTTTATATTCCAAGTGAGCATAGGCCAGTTGATGTCGCAACAAAAGGACTCTTCCATAAAAATACGACATTACGAGTCTATTTTTACGAATGGTGATGGAAAGGACCGTCATGAATAAAAGAAGAAATTGATTGATCACAATTATGATTCAATAATCAAGATTCCCGAGGAATTTTCGAGGAAAAGAAAATGGAAGAGAGAAGAAAAAAAATTACTGCACAAGTATCCAATCAAATCCCTCAAAGGGAAAGTTTTTTTTTCATTTTAATAAACATTCAGGGTTACTAAGAATGATTCTAAGAATGATTCTCAAGTTCATAAAACTAACAGCTATAGGAAAATTATTATGGTTACAACTACTATAGCTGGGAAAAATTGGCTCAATAATAAAGATTATGAATTTGCCGATTGTGTGCTAGTTAAGCAAGAGTAATCAGAAAGAATAATAGAAGAAACAAACAAATTGAGTCTCTGCTACAATGAAAATGAAAAATTATAGAGATTAAGAAGTCGATTAAAAAATTCAGAATTGGATGATGGCGGTAAACAGACAATCTATACCTCTCAGGACAATCCAATAACTAAGCTACTCATACAACAAAAACATGAAGACCTATACCATGCCGGTCATGCTTAATCTTCCAGAAACTTGAACCCTAGAACCTTCGCACAAGTTGGATTGGGTTCTCTTGCTTTCAAAACTGACAATGGTATAATTATGAGTACCTCTATGCACATGTTTCATTATGAGTTTCTGGAATTGGCAGAAAACTTATCGGTTGAAGGCTTTTTACACATCTAAGATCTATTGCTCAGCGCGATTACCCTGAGTTAATTTTCAGTGATAATGCTAATTTCGATTAGTCTTCAAAACCATTATGGAACAGAATCTAACTTCTAAACAAAAAGAAGAATGCTATGGAAGAATATAATACTAAAGGCCCCATGGAATGGTTTGTGAAAGATTAATTGAACTGACAAAAAAGGCGATGAAAAGAGCTATCGGCAGAAAATTATTAGGGGGAAGGGAATTAATAACTTCAAGAGTGGAAATAGTATAGTTAAACTTGACATTAACGTAAGCTTTGATGATTACGTAATAATACGCCCAATTAGTTTTATCTCTCTTAATGCATCTTTAATCATATCAAATAGTAACGAGGACAGGATGAATTTATTCCTCGTAAACTAAATACTAAAGAAAGACCTATGAAGTATTTGCTTAAAGCGATACATTTTGGGTAATATGGAGAAGGAAGTAAACAATACTCAAATACGTGAAAAATTTTGGAATTCGTTATAGGTGAATTCCAACTTGTTTTAACAAAGAAAATGAAACAATTACGGTAACAAATTATGAATTTATTAATTCATATCCAATGAATAGTGATATTATACTGAATTCTCGAAAATTAAACAAAAATTCATAATCGGAAAGCTACTCGAGATCAGTTAAATATAATCAAAATAAGTCTTGAGGAAAAAGGCGATCCAGAAAATGTAAAATCTCAGTATTTTCGACAGTCCATAAAGAGATTTTAAACAACAACACAACATAGTATATCATAAGAGTTGCCAAAACTGAAATAACCTATTATTATTGGTAGAATAGTTGCCAACCAGTAATCTAACGTTAGCCACAAAATTGTTATTAAAAAAAGATGATATAATAGCTAAAAGAGTCGAAGAAAAGCTAATTATTCCATGCAAATCTGGAAATTCAGAGAGGGATAATGAGCAGATTCGAAATAGAAAAAATCAATGCAGAACTGGGGATACGTGCTTAAAAGCAGGAAAGAATCAATCCAGTTTCCATTGATAAGAGACAGAATTTCTGGAAGGAAATAAATCAGCAAGAGAAGGTATTAGCAGACCAACTGAAAATGAATTCAGTAAACTTACAGAATTAATACAATAATTATAGAATCTGCGATTGCAAATGATCACTACTGATCACTGTTGCTGTATTTTTACAGCGCTAATTATACTAATTGCTATCAAGAAGAAAACTGATTTAATTCAACCAATTTTTTTCCACCATATATAAAATCTTAAATCAAACAGAAATTATAGCTACTCCCATGGTAGTTATACAGGTACTAGACAGGTACCAGATTTCACTGGACAAAAGGGGCAATAATACCTCCCAAATAACATAAATTAAAGAAATAAACACCCCTTGTTATATCTCCTAATTTTCCCCCTAAAGTTCAGTAATAACCAAAATAACATATCAAAATAGTCGAAGTATTTTCGTATTATAAACATATCTTGTAACAACTGAAGCAAATCCATAATATATAAAGCAAATCCATAACATAATATAAAAGTTTATAGGATAGACTGTAAAAGATTCCTTGGTCTGATTACCAAGCATATGTGCACTCAGTGTTGTAAACCATTTCCACTATGTAAAGAGAAAGTTGGTCACTAAGTATAATTTTCGATCTAAATTTTTTATCAAGTATGCGCTCCGATTCGGTTGTTCTCTGAATTTTCCTCGAATATTTTTACAAGAATCTGCAAACACCTGCATTATTCGCCGGTACCATTTGTCTATTTTATTACCTGAATGAAGAACAAACATCCCTAAATTAACGAATCTTTCACGCAAATAGTTACCAACCAATAACAAAGCGAGAACTTCAACAAAAGTCAACTTTCACGACAAATGCATTACAAATGATGCACCACTGGGCGTGAGGCTTAATCTCGAGGAGGAAACGATTTTTCCACTGGTGAACATTGCAAGCACCAGGTGACAATTCTAGCTGACTTAATTACTCAAAGTAGAGTCTGTGAAGTGTTACCGTTTGAAGATAAAATTTAATGTTTAGCGTTTTTCGTTACGATGAAACATTTCTATGCAATGCGGAAAACAGAAAATGGTTGAGTACAGATGAAATATGCTTAAAACACCGACTGGGATGCTTTTCGAGCTCCCTTTCCGTTTGTTTCAAAACTGCTTAGTACAGATCATTCGGAAAACTTCCAAAATAAGTTAATAGTTCTACAGATCATTCGGAAAACTTCCAAAATAAGTTAATAGTTCTTCAGTTAAGATCATCTATTGCGAAAAATTTAGTGGTACCAATATGCCACAACTTTGACGCGATGTCTTTCTATCACACTGGTAATTCGAATACCTCTGCTTCAACGAAGTAACGAATTTCGGGAAGACCATTTGTTTACCCGCTTTAATTAACAAAATAGGTTTAATTCACATTCCTTCAGCAATAAGATTTTTTGGGAAGACTAATGTATAACCGAGAAGCTACCACAAACAACAAACAGCGTATTTATTTAACCAGACAGATATTTTGAACAAGAAACTTTGGTAGCTCGGAAAAACTGACAGCAGTAAACCCCGTGAAGTAAAACAGAAATAAAAGAAAGCACTGTGATTATTAGCAATGCGCCTTCCATACAAACGAATACAAGAGTTTCCAGATATCTAGTTTTTAAAATTTGGTCATAGGAGTTTTTCATTCATTAAATTTCATACAAGTAAACCACATCCAAAAAGAGATCAACTGTAAGCTGAATTTCTAAGAAATAAGAGTTCTTTCAAGGATGTTAAGTAGGGCCAAAATACCTCTTGATCGATTTCAATTTCAAGTATCGGTAGAACAAATTTTACGTTTACGATTCGTATTTATGTAGCAAACTTCGAACCTTCGAAAGGTTACAGTTGCCCTTAACCGACAAGAACCACAGGTCATTTAGTGCCTGACGACTAATTTTATTGTCGACTCCAATGTAGTAGTTGTTGTTAATAATATAAGGTCTTAAATGAGCTCGTTCCGACTCCGACATTTTGAACCATTTTCCATCAGCTACTTCAGTCCATTCAAATTGACGACACACCAATCCAAAATACTGTTGACGGCACAGCTGGTCCAGAACATCCTATCATTTATAAGTTTATGCATTGTGTCACTCTAAGGATAGTTTTGGACTCTATCGATTTTCTTCTCATCGTGATATTCAAATCTGAGAGCATTTTCTTTTTTCTATCTGCTAGTGCACTATTGTCAGCATTTCCTATCTGATAGCGCATTAACAAAAAGTAATGACCCAACAAAAAAAAACAAACAAAAATTAAAATTCAATGCCATATCAACTGTGCTATTCCAAATGCACACCTTGCTTTCACAAATGTGCTGCACCACCTTAATAAAACCTGATTTGAGGAATAAACCAAAGGTTTATCTAACAAAATTATTGCGGTTAACATTTTTCGTAACAGCTCAGATTTAATTCATTTTGCAGTTCACCACAATGTATCTCATTGGAATAAAAAATCTCACCTGGTCATACAGTTTTGGATTCTTTGAAAGTTGCGAAGTTAATTCGCGCATGAATACAAGAGACGCATTTGAGGGATAGACGATCATTGGATCGAATGCATACGTCAAGCTGTGATCTGGATAACCTATAACTAGGTACTCACATCACTGTAATTAGACAAAAGTGCTGCATTTTGACTCGAATACCTATTACATTTCCATACTTTAATTCATATTTATATTCCATCATGTGCTTGTTGCTATGTAAATTAATACTTACAGATGGAAAAAATCGATCAACAAGAACATATTGAGGTTCATTTATTGATTTTTGTGTTCTCAGTTTCATAAAATGTATGAACCTTTCGTCGGTACAATAATATCAGCATCATCAATAAGTGTTTGGTTTTGAAAAAATTCCATGGGATCACGTAGCCAAACCGCATCGGTTTCAAATAAAATATATGGTAGCTCGAGCTGTAATATACTAATTCAAAAAGTAGAATTACAACTAATGAGTATGCACATGAATGAACAAATAACTGGGCAAATCAAACCTGTGCAAGAATTAGCAAAAGCTGTGAGCGAAGACTGAGCAGATTGATATAGTTTTGCCGTCCCCAGCTAAGTGGACTGTTGTAATTATCATGTACTTTAATATACATACACTTCACTTCTTTCCAAGTCTTCTGGATCACCTCACAAGCTTCTGGATCCAGGCTGACAATTAACGTCTTACGATGGATTGATGTCCGGAATGGTGCCACGTTACATAACCAGTTTAAAGTCAAGTTCAGATAGGCTCCATTAATTAAAGTAAACAATAGAAAATCGTCTGAATTCGAATGTACTACCCTCGCTTCACGTTTGAAATTCTGTAATTCGTGAAAAATTGTCATTGACTTCCAGATCATTCACAAGTTACCGCAGTGAAATTAACAGCAGGCTTGAAAAATTACTAATAATAGGCAAAAGGCAAAAGCGTTAAAGTGTCCTTCTACACACTGCAAACTAGCATTGTAATATTTCTTTCTGCAGAAGTATTGTTCGAATAATTCAAGAAATTATAAATTTCAAAATATTTTGGTTTTATACATAGCTAGAACCATATCAACGATAAAAAAATGATTCTAATCATATAAATGTTTTGACGCCTTTGCGGAACTTAATGAATGGATTCTCTAATCTTTCACTAATTTACCATCAATTCAAAAATAACAAAGCTGTAAAATGTTAGTAGATGATCTGAAGCATATATCTCACATATACCTCGAAAAATCTGTTGGTAATTACTGGCACTTTTTGTATCACTGGTTCAACTAGATGAGGTACAAAATCTTCCTGATATGCTTTCGAACTGAACGAATTAGCTGATCTAGAAAAACTTAAGAAGAAACAGGGAAGATCAGCAGTTAATCTAAACGGACACATTATAGCCTTGAATTCCCAAACGTTAAAAAATGGAAGCGATAATGAAGCAAAAGAAACATACGTAACAGCACTGTCCTCGTCTTCTTCATTCACATTTTCGGGAAGATCTTTAACGATTAGTGGTCCATCAGAAATTTTTTTACTTGGGTTTTTTGTGTGATCAGTGACACGCCTGTTATCCACTACAGTCACAATAAGATGCATCAAGAGATATGCCGCAAACAATTGCGCACCTCGTCGCGTCCACTTTGACAACATCTGGCATTAGTATATCGTCATTGAACTGCAATTAAATTTTAGGAAAAATTGCTGTAGATATAATTTGACACACAAAATTAAAAGTTTCTGGAAATGAAAAATAAAAAGGCAAAATATTCATTATTCTGCTATATAACATGTTTTCATTATAACGTTCTTGTAAGTGGAAATAGAATTTTCATTAAGAACATGAAAGAAATTTTGCAGAACTTTATCCAATGAACATTTAAACTGTGATAATCTTAGCTGTTTGGCTTTTTCAACCTTGTAACGTACGTTTTCAAATCCTCATGATGATTAAGAGAGAGAGAGAAAGAGAGAGAGAGAGAGAGACTGAACAATTTTCCTCTATACCTTCACTTTTCATATTCAACAGCTATTAGTAAGGTCCCCATATTCGCGAAGTGCTTCAATCGCAGCATTGTGCTTCTAGTTAAACTGGTAACAATCATATTTCTGGGTAAATTTCGATACCACAATACAAACGGTTCGATAATACCTACTCACATTTTAAAGTGCTGTCCACTGAGGGGAGAATTGGTGGATGTGCGAGAGTCACATATCAAACATTGAGCGGAAATACTGATCAGAAGTTGTTTGTTTACCCAGGAAATTTCCATTCCACTTTAGAAAAGCTAAGAATTCGGAAATTTATTAGTTATGTCTGAAATGCTTGTAGAAAAACGGTCACAAATAATTTTATCATTTAACGTGTCACCTATAAATAGTAATCAGTACATATTTCTGTGAGAGGAATCAATAACAAACTTTTTGCTTTTGAGAGGCTTTGAGAGGCACTCTTAGGTTTCTAAGAGTTATAAGTTAAACCTAAGAGTTATAAGTTACAGGAGATATCGAACAAAAACAATAAGAGCTGGCACACAATAATCTCCGTAGATAATTATGTGTATAGATAGCTTGTTCCCCACAAACAAGTAGAAGTTCTGATATATCAAACTCTCCGTCTAGTGAAATGTGAATTGGTTGGAATGTCAGAAGACTAAGTAGGTCATAGGTCAAAAAAAAATTAAAGAAAAGGTGCATGATGTAGTAAGCCAGTCTTTATTACAAGCAAAAATCACATTTCTCCCGCGGGGATCACAAATTCAATGGCTTTTCAAAGCGATCCCACACTGAAATCAATTTCAAGTATTATGAAACACATTTATCAAAAATGCAAGCAGAGAAAATTTCGAAATGCATGCACTGGTCATTGGATTCAAACACTTACTTAAGGCATCAGTGAACTGACACGTCCAGCAAAAGCCACTTTAATGCATTTTGTAAAAATGGCGTTGCTCTCAACAGAAAAATCCCTTCGCGAAATAAATCCAGTAAATTAAGTGTAATTTATATTTTTTAAAATTGTTTCCCTTGTTTGGTAAAGCTCAACCTTAGATTAATTTAATAACTACCAATAATGAACTACCAATAATAATGATGACCAATAATGAAGACAGCGAATAAAAGGCAGACGTAATGCTCATTTGCCTTAAATATCAAAAAAAAAAACTGTTACTGTAAAACTGTAATGTCAAACAGAAAAGCACTAAGTGACGTTTTTTAATGTTGTGAAGCCACGGATGGGTTTCATGTAAGCAAGCAATGACATCATTACCCAAAAGCTTGTTAATACCCTAGAACAGTCTTTATACTTCGCGATATTATTTAATAATTTTCGGAAATAAAGCTGCTAACGAGACGAGTAGTTCATATAGTTTTCTTGGCTTTATTATTCGAATAAAAAATATCTTTCCTCACTAAATAAGTATGCTCGTATCTTGGTAATAGTAACTAAGAATGAAAATTTACTGAAAAATGTTTTCCCGAAGTCTTTAATGTCATTTAAGGATTAATATAAAGGGAGTTTAAATATCTATCTAAATCGGACTGATAGTTTTCCATTAGCAGAGATATTTCAAACCAAACGAATAGATCGTTTGCGATATCATTAACAAAATTTAAAGTGTTAAGGGCGAGTACTGTCAGAGAAACGATTTAAAAACCAAATTTCAACCATTAAATTATAAAACCATGTGAAACACTGACCCGAAAGAGTAATACAAAAGGAAAGCAGCAAAAGAGATTAGTAGTTGACAATCCAGCCGAAAGGAGGACAAAATCATCAGTGTTCTCCCACAAAGTTTAAGGTAGCCATTGTCGATACACAACTGGTAAAGACAGTAGCGCAGGTGGAAGTTTTTGATGAAAATTTGAAATAACCGGTGGAAGAGAACCATTAAACGATCATAGTGACAGACTTAGAAATGTAGTCGTCGACAAAGACACATATAGAGCAATATACATAGATTTGTACATACACACATACATGCATTCATACATGCGTACATACATACATACATAAGTACGTACATACATACATACATACATATATACGTATACATATATACGTACATCATGCACACATACACACATACATACATACCTATATACACATATATATAAATGTATGTACATACATACATATATGCACACAAAAAAAAATATGTATATATACATATATATGAACGTATTTCTACGTTTACAACAATGGTGTCATTGCGATTTGCATCCGCTGAAACGATGTTTCAGGTACATTCAACACTCACCTGAAGACAGAATAGCTAGAAGTGACCAAAGTGACTGCAGCTATACGCGACCCTCTTTAGTATTAGCAAGAAGAAAGATAAGAGTTGAAAAAGACCAAGAAAGTCTTTGCAGTGAAAGTGACTAAAATACCGCTTGCGACAGATTTCAAATTAAAAGAGTGGTTTTGAAATCTCTCCCCAGCAATACGATCCGACCATACAGTGAAATGCAGTTAACGGGCTAGTATTAGTACTCATCAAAACCAGTTCATTTAACCAGTGAAGAATCGGAATCTGATGCTTACTTGAAAATCTGAAGTAAATTCATGATATCTCTTCGAGGCTTTAAATGATCTATAGTACCCCCAAATACAGCACCCCCATATTACCCATGTTCTTGGTACCGGATTGTTTTTCAAATCAGTACAACCTGGTCACGGAAGCTGTAAAGCACGGCGCGAAAATTTTCGGAAGTGTCTACGTGCAATTTTTAAATAGACTGGAATAAAAGGAAGACATGCAGTTTCATGGGAACGATAATGGCGGAGAGGTACTGATGCAGACCGGGGATCTCTGACAAAAGACGTGGGCTTGGGTTGTGGGAGGATTACAGAGCACTCTGCCAGCTTCCATCCCTTCTCCGTCTTACAAACCAAGCTTACACTTCTTTACGTCTATTCCGTTTCGTTTCTTTTCCTGTTTGCTGCAGGGTACTTCAGTGTATGTTCCACGTGTAACCCATTTCCAGATTGTTTTTTTTTTCCCTCTCCCTTTCTTTCTCTCCCTATTTGTTTTTTCCAGTTGAGAAATGGATTTTTTCACTTTTCCTTTCAAGCTTAGATTTGAAAAAATGAACTAGTCGAAAAGGAAATTGGAGATAGGGAATTATTCCTTACGACTTTCGCTCTCACCTCCTTCTTTTTAATAAGTCAAAATTGCTACATTACCTATGTCCTTTGATCTTTCTTGCTTTAGTCCAGTTAAAAATCTGTGTAGTGGACAAACGTGACACAGAGAAGAAATTAAAATGAAATACCAAAGAGCTATTTGAAAATTGATTGCCTAAAGTACAACGAATTTCAGCACTCAGCTCACGTACAGAAATGTTGCAAGCAATAAACATAATTAATCAAGCAGCAACAGTTGCACAGTTTCTTCGTGCACCAGCGTGGCCCATCGAGTCAGTGAATTTCCATCGTTATGGATATACAGGTAGGACTGTTTACACTTCATACTTGTCTAGATTTAGATTTGAGTTGTAAAAGTTCAGATCATAGTGAGTGGATCCGTTTTTCAGACAGTTGATTTTTCAGTTCATCTCAGTCCTGAATTGCAATTAAGTCAAATCCGTACTTCATTGGTTGAGTCAAATGCGCCACGACAAATTTCGTCAAGTCCGGTAACCGGAGATACTGTTACTCATCTCACCTTAGCTTGTACTTACATAAAAATCATTACTGAACTTAAAGATCAAAGTTTTTCCTCATGCCAAGTTTGAATAGTTTAAGGTATTGTATCGCGCAGTACCTCCTTATATCGTTCCAGTTTCCAATTCGTCTCCTCCATTAACAACTTTGCGTGATCCCGATGTCCATAATGAGTATGTTATTTTACGGAATTTTCTATATAAATGTACAATCTATCCGTCTATGACGGTTTTTCTACAAAGCTTTTAGTCGGCAGTTACAAAACCACGACCCAACGAAGGCAAGCCTATAAAGACCCGGTAACACTGTAAACGTTCAGGAAAGCTGATTCAGTTGACTTGGCATTACCAGAGATCCACTAGAAAAGATATTAAAGATTTGAAAATACATGTTCAAACTAAAGAGTTTGAAGATATATGTTCATAAATTTATTATCCAAATGGAAGTGAAAAAATGAGCATTTAGAGTGTTATTTTCATTATTTTCATTAGCAGAAACTGCACAAAGGGAAAACAGATTTTGAAATAGGAGAGCAAAGGTATGCGATTTCAGCATTAGTTTGCTACCGTTTCCGTCGTCTGATGATACATTTGTGACAAGAGCGTTTACCGAACATTTGATTGAAACTGGGAGAGTTGATATTTATGCGACCGACAAACGTGGCTCACGGTTTTAATTCTACTCTCTTAAAATTCTTGAAAATTTTTTGCATTTTATTTGAATTTTATTTCATCACACTGATATGGTTTAACATGTAGAACTTATTTCGAATAATATTCAAACTTGGAGTGTTTCTTAAAAGATAACTGTAGAAACCGTATCGTCATCTGCTTATATCATATGATCTTAGATGACGTCACTCTAACAGGATAAAAGGATAAAATCATGGTTGTCTCTCACCTTTTGATTCTGCAGTATGGAGAGGAATCGTTTGGTCCGTTTTGGAAATCAGTGCATAGAATAGAAAAACGTAAAAAAAATGGAAAAAAAAAGTAAAAAAACTAGCATGCTATATGATTTTGTTATTCGGGCACTATGAAGGAAAGAGGTCAAGACACTACAAACACCACTCCTAATTTTTAAAGACTGCTGAATCTGCAGCAGGACTAGAGCTTTATCATCTAGTAGCAACAATGTCTATCGCCGCTGCAACTATTCCTTGTTTTTAAACTGATTTGTTTGGAGGTGAATGTTGTTTTGCTCGTTTTGGTTTCCTCCAAGTACAAAACCATCTAACAGAGTCCTGATCGTTAACTCTTTTAGCTTATTACAAAAAGTTTTTGTTGGTGGAGATATACCCATTCGGCAGAAACTTGCCGATCATTTTCTGAAAATGGACGTCTTTGTCAAACTTTGTGATGACATCTTTGCTAATTTTTTTCTCCAGGTAAGCTTGCTTCCTGTAATTGAATTACATTTGTTTCCAAGTTGCTGAATTTAATCAAAAAGGGACGGAGTTCTTAGGCTCTTTGCTAAATCCCTTAAGCTTATTTGCATTTGCTGATTTATATTGTAGAAATTGATCGAAGGGGCGCGAAATGATGAGCAGGAGACTGTCTGTTCACTTCTTGAAACAAATATGGTAATATTCAGTCGTGGTCGCTACTCATGTCGAGTAGTGCAGAAAGCTTTCGAGTGTTTCGATGTCGCGAATTGTTTATCACTTGTAGCCAAACTGGATGGGAGCGAGAAGGATCTGTCATTGGATCAGAACGGAAACCATGTCATTCAGGTTTTAGATAATACTGAATAAAAGGATTCATAACGTTAGTTTATATAACATGACTTGTATTAATGGTCATCATTTCCCCGCTAACGGACAGTGGTCCAGTTTTACAAAGCATAATTTTTCAGAAGATTTTTTCTTGCGTTCCTTTCTATGGATACAGTAACATTGTTAACAAGTATGTCGTATCAGCGGATGTTTTAAGTGAAGTTGTGAAGGACAGATATGGATGCCGAGTTATTCAACTATCAATTGAAGTAAATTTTTAAAACTTTGGTATCCAAGGGACCAGTTACCTCATAAACTTAACATTTTTAAGGCCTTTTATCTTTACTGTAGTAACCAGCATTCTTCCGCTAGTGGGCCAAAGTTTCAGTTGCTAACTGTATACATGAATGACAGTATCCCTTAATTGTTTAGTAATTGGAATATTCGTCGGTCATTTTGACCAATACGGTTTTTTACGATCCAACTTCTGACTTTATATATACATATATATATATATATATATATATATATATATATATATATATATATATATATATATATAATATA